CATTATTCTGGTGAAAACAAAGAATGACGTTAAAATTTTAGACACTTTTATTTACACGTTTCAATCAGATGCTTTTTATGATGGATTAGATTAAAAATGATTCTCATGAGATTAAGATGGAAGGTTTGTAGAGATTGCTCATTTTGACGATAGTTAACATTATAGAGTAGTATGAAGTTAGCTATTGACAAGCGAAAAGCACTAAATTGATGTTTCCTTCTAGTATGGGACTCCTGAAATATGGACATTCATGATTTGATCAAAGATCAAACTTTGAACTTTTCATTATCTTAGTAGACAAGATACAATAGTGAGGATGAGTTAAAATCCAATGGCCCGTATTTTCAACTTCATTCAATTTATAATATATTAAGAGATCATATTTCAGTTTAGTCGGCGATATTGTGTATTTTTTATTTACAGCAACATATAAGTGTAGTGTTGATTTATTATTTATTTATTTGAACACAAATATTGGTACAAAGGGGCACCAAATATATATGCGCCACACAAGTCACTTGATTTGTGTGTGGGTTGTGATACTGCCCGAGTGCTCAAGCCGAACCAGGTAGTTTTCTTGGGGTTCCACATCCGGAACCCTCGACCTAAAGGTCTGATCCCCAGGGCAGTGAAGATGCAGTCACATGGTAACCGATGACCGATAATTGGTTCATATGCCATTTTTTCCCTTAGGATCCTGGATCTCATGTGCATCATCGGTTTGGAATCAGGGTTTCCAACTCCCATAGGTGGATCCTCCATATCCACCAACCCGCTCAAAGCTCAGGACACTCACTTTTCGTCCTCTCAATTTCGTAAACAACGCAGTCACCACGATAAGTCAGTGAGTAGGACTTTTCCGGCAGTTGCTGTATTCACGTGGCCATGTAAAATCATTTTGAGAGAGAGAAAGGGCTGACTCTCCCTAATCTCGACCGTACCACGGCATTCGGGGGCTATGGTTTTGTACAAATATCCACTTGAACTGTTGAGAATCGAATTATATTACAATATATGGAAAATCTATCTTACTTAACTTTTTGCAGTTACGTTAGAAGATAATAGCTAACATTTTTAAAAAAAGGACATCTCTACTTATCGGTTTTACTAAATAGAGAAATAATGCTCAATATGTATATTATTCATGACTAGTCAACATTTATGAAAAGATAGGTGATATCACTTTATTTGTTCAACTGTTGTATCACACAACACAGTTTCTACTACGAGTTTGACTTAATTCATAAGGCTTTTTAATGCTTCTTGCTCAATTGATATATCTGAAGAGATTTTGTGCAGATTGATTAAAATTATTCTTGCAATTTAACATAGAATAATCTCATTTGGGGTTAAGCATTCTCCATGAGACCTAGAGATCCTGGGGTCAATCCTTGGTGGGTTGGTAGGTGCATACTTTTGATAAATTCAGTGCTAGAATGATATAATTGTTCAGTTCTCTTTGATTTTCAGTAATAACTTTAAATAAACTTACCTTGGGATGAATGCTACATGTAATAAATGCATTTATCTACATTTAGAAATGAGTAAATATCAGTTTTTGTGTAAATTGACAATATGATCCACATTTATGATGATAAGATTTAAACAAGCATACTATATTGTGGAGAGTGCTGAAGGCAATTAGCAACGTGTGTGGTAAATTTTTTGAGGTCATAATTACTATGGTTATGGACAGACATCTAAATTCTTGCAAACTCCTAACAGGTGTTATCTTATCAGATACTAACCATCCCCTTCACTCATATCATTCTCCTTGTATATATTCTGGTACAACGATACGTAAATACATTAAAATCCATGCACGCAAGCAAAAGTATAAAAGTTCTATAATACCTTACCTAGCAAATATACTTTGTGACGAACAGGTTGTTAGAGTTAACCTAGTCAATAACCTGCATTCTTAACATGTCTCTAGTTTGGAAAGTTGTACAATTTTTTCAACCCTTTTCCTTTCTTTTTCGTTATTGTTTTTTTTTTTTGTTTTGTTTTTTGTGAAAGAAGCTTGTTGAAATACCTTGTGCTGAAAATTCTATATTGTACCAAAATATAATATTGAATAGAGCCTTTAATAATAATAATATATTTAAGTATTAAAGTATTTCTATGAAGAAAACGTTTTCGACAATACCATCTACTTAATCTATAGAATCATATTGATAATTAACTTCTACGTACTGTAATCTGTCATAAAACGGGGGTATGCTGCATCAACAATTTCCGAAATAAAAAAAATACAATATTATAGCCAGTAGTCACTTGAAAAGAAATTCTATTACATTATGAATTGTTTGTAAATATCAAATATTGGAGTGAGAGGATGAAGTAGTAATTATCCGCTTGATGAATATGATAAACAAAATAATGAATTATTAGACGGTGGCCCGTTTGAATATCTGAGCTACCTGATTCTGCTATCTGGATATTTCAACAAGTTATCTGTTTCCTTGTTTGTTTTAACATATCATTATGTCCATTAATCACATATATTCAGGTGCGTTTATGAAATGTTTACGACATATCGCTATACAAGTTAGGAAAAAGAACAATCAAAGACATTGTGGTTGCTGGCAATATACATCGAAAAGAATACACATTAATCTGAGGTCGATTCCTGAACTGCTAACATCTAACTGGCAACCACTCGATCAAGAAATAAGAGAAAAAGAAACTTGTTGAAATACTTTGCGCTGAGAATTCTATATTGTACCAAAAATATAATACTGAATAAAGTCACTAATAATAATAATATATTTGATAATTGTGAAATAATTAGAAGTAGGGGAAAATGATGGATTAATAAGGATGGAAGATAAAAAATAAGATAGAATGTTAGAGTGAATATGTTGCTTATGTACATAAACCTTCGTAGAACATAAGTTTTTAATTTGTATTTCTTCAGAATCAATTCTTTTTACTATACGGACGGTTTTGAATAAAAAAGGATTCTTGTGAAACAAAGTAACCAGAATATACAAGATGTTCCTTATGCTGCTTGGCAGATTTGTGTAGTCATTTTCAAAGTTAAGTAGGAGAGTTGTTTCGAAAGAGCTTGCTTTGTGTAATCACTAAAGCCTGTGTCATAAAAGTAAGTGAACTGACTGGTGTACACTGATATGGTTCAAAGAGGAAGTTTGTCCTTCACATAATCATGACCGACTTGATAAAACAATGAGAGGTTTGAGACAAATAGAATGTTTTTCCTAAAGACATAGAAAGTCTACCTTTACAATCTCTGCTGAAGCATCTTCTCTAAAGTAAATGTTTATGAAGATCTTTCTTGGTATTCTAGAGATTCTTTGCATTTTATTGTTACAGTTTAAGATTTCTGTCAACGAAAGCAGATGAATGGCTGTTATTGATAAGTATGTGCCCCCACATGCCCTGATACGGTCGAGGATGAGGAGAGTCTGCTATCTCTCTCGACATGCTCTAACATGGCCATATGTATACAGCTACTGTCAGAAATGTTCAGTTTGAGCACTCGGGGAGTATCACAGCCCACACACTAATCAAGTGACTTGTGTGGCGCCTTTGTACCAATATTTGTGTTCAAATAAATGAATAATAAATAAATGTATCATATATGCCCCTATTAATCCACAACATCAAATGGCCAGTACACCAATTTTCAATTTGGATTCTAATGAACCGAAATAGAAACTTGATCCATTTTATATCCATGAGAATCAAACAAATTTGTAAGAATGACTTGACTGATAAAGAGCAATATCGGAAAGAAAACTTTCTTCGCTGAATAACCCTGAATTCTTCCACAGTGGTAAAATTTATTTGATTAATTATATGATGTTGAAATTTCCAAGTTAAATATAATATTTCAATTATCTTATTATAAAGAGTTACAAAGCAGACGAATACATCTTAGAGAAATGATTAAACCTGAAGGTGATCAGTGTATCTTGTAAAAATCAATGAGAACAATCTCACATATTGGTGTATAGTCAGATACATTGAAGCATAGATCCATTAAGCTACCTTTTACTCTTTATAACTAATGTATAAGATATTTTTCTAGATAGCAAAGATATTTCAAATGATCTTTATTTATAAAAAAAAGCACTAAGTTAACAGACTTATTGCTTCTTACAAAGTAACTGGAATATTTGTAGATGATCCTTCTTTTAAATACTTTTTTATCATATTATCTCCATCCTGATAATAATCATGTGCTCCCTAGTGACTGGCTCCAAGATGTATCTCCTAGAATACTAGTGAGAAGCAGTGACCAGTCAAGTTCAACTTGTGTCGGGTGGAGACAGTTAACCACTTCAGATAATGGATGAAGAGTTTCTCAAGATCATGGATCGATTAAATTTAAAAATTAACACCGTTAGATGCTGGTTCAGTAGTCTAGATGTTAAGCGTTCGCGAGCGAGACTTAAGGTCTTGGGTTCGAGTCTCCCATGAAGGATCATGGATGCGCACTGCTGAGGAGTCCTATACTAGGACGGGACGGCCATCCAATATTTCCAGATTTTCAATGGTGTTCTAACTTACATCGACTCATGAATTCAAATATTAAAACCACTTCGATCTCTACAAATCCCCATTCTGATAAAATTAAAAGACCAGTCCAATCGATTATTTATAAGAATCTATCAGTGTTAGTGTGCAGACTATTTCACATTTTGTATATATATATATATATATATATATATATAGACATAAAAGCTGGTTACTATCAAAAACCACTTTGATTGTATGTAAAGATGTAACTAGTTTTATTGAAAAACTGGGTCATCTAAAGACTAATATGATGCATTTTTTTTATTATCTAGTTCTGACTACTGAATCCTATATCCTATTGTATAAACTATAATTGTTATCCCTTAAATGTTATTATTATAGCTTAACTGTCTGCATAACAATCCATTTTAGTTTAATATATATATATATATATATATATATATATATATATATATATATATATATATATATATATATATCGTTTATTGTTTGTGATTTAGTGTGTCTTTAAGTGAATTCACTATGATTTGTCCTTGGAAAAAAGAAAGATTACATTAAATAAATTGTATCATTTACCTATCATAAAGATAGAATGGATTGTGAGATAAACTATTGATCGTTTACTAATCTAGGTGCATTTGTTGGCCAATAAGAAAAATCTCTGTACATACACCTACTACTATTTGTCCGTAAGAAAAACGTATATATATATACATATGCATGCGTAGAGAACATAGATACTGTATCTACTGTAGTTACATTCACCTATTACATCATCAGTAATATCCAACCTTAATCATCGTTAATTTATCCTTCAGTAAACTATTTACTTAACAATGATTAATTAAAAGTAAATTCTTATGGATATTTACAATAGTTTAATTTACTTTTGATGAAATCAACCATCTTTTTCTTCTTTTTCTTCTTAAATCTATCAAACATTAAATTTATCCGTCTTTCTTATTTGTATAAAATTTGAAATTGTAAAAATATTATTCTATCTTACATATATAAAAATTAATGAACATGCTTTACGGTGGTCCTCTTGGTACTTATCTTAGTGGTTTATCATCAACATCTTCATCACCATCATCATCTTCAACCAATGCAACATCACATCTTAATTCATCAAGTTCAGTATATAATTCACCTAGTAATAGTACAAATTATTATTCTGGAATAAGTGGATTAAGACGTAGCAGTTCAAGATATCGAAATTCTACAAGTGGTAATAATTTATCAACAACATCAACCTCATTAAATACTACTAACAGTAGTAATATCAGTAATAATAATAGTAATAGTAATACTGTAAGTGGAACTAATCCATATTCATCTTATTATACACCACCAGTACGAAGAAAATATGGTACACCTGAAGTAAGTTTATGTAGACCGTATAGTTTTTTTTTGTTTTGTTTTTAGATGTAACATGAATCGATTGTCAAGATATATGTCTTGTTATAATACCACTATTAATTTATATTTCTTATTCAGTAACTATGGGGATAATTACTTTGAAATATCATCCATAAGTTATCATTTATGAATTAGGATACTGGAATAAATGAGCATCAAACTGATTGTAATTGGTTATTTGAATTAAATAAATGAATTTGGTTATGATTCACTGTAAAATAATGTAAATAGTTTAGTTTATTGTTTGAAATGGTTAAACAATATAGGTGTATTTTAAAATAAGTTACTTATATAAATATGTACTTATTGTGGTGTATGCTACTCATACAGACAGATATAAGTAGTATGTAACAGGAATCGGAAGTAGAATGGTTACTAGTAGAAGAATAAAATAAAGAGAAAAGGAAGGAAAATCGAGAGCAGTCAGAACAACAACAATATTGGAAGAATAATGAAGTGTGTAGAGGACAACTGACAGAAAATATGCAGATGATATATTGAATATATGATTTTGATATTTTACAAAGCTACTGTTTGATTTAGCATAAAACAATAAATTGGTTTATTTCATCTAAGTTTTCATACACTACGTTATGGAATCGTGAAATTATAGATGATAAGTAGTAAGGGTATATTATTATTGCTTGGATTGGTTAAAGTTAGATATTAACACCGTTGGATGCCGACTCAGTGGACTAATGGTTAAGTGCTCGCGCGTGAGACTAAAAGGTCCTGAGTTCGAAGCTCGCGAGGCGGGCTCGTAGATGCACACTGCCGAGGAAACCCACGATAGGACGAAACGGCGGTCTATTACTTCCAGGTTTTCCATAGTGTTCTGGCTTCAATTGACTCATGATCTCAACTATTGAAATTACTATTAAATCCACAAAAACCCTTCTGATATATTATTGTTGTCTACAAACTTATTTAGTGGACAAGGTTTATGATAGATAATAGGTTATTACTAAATAATAAGGTATAATTAAAAATTATCCATCTTTTGGAAATATTACAATATCCAATTCACAATGGTTCTATGGGTAAATGTTTGAGAAAATTAAAAACTCACAAGTCTACATCTTTTATAAATTGAGAACAAATAGATAAATAAATTTTATTAAACTCATTTATTTGATGTGCCTGGTTTCATGTGTGTTGGTTAGTGATTGTACCCAGTTGCCCAATGTCGGTAACAATTGGTTTCGAGCTGAATAACTATAAATGTCCACAATGTTACTTAGTCATAAGATTTTTTGATCATCCACATGATTCGTAGTCATGGTCATTTGTTTAAATTATATTTTTTCAGAATAGGATATAACTTTTGATATAATTATTGCCTTATAAGGCAGTTAATTAGTCATGATAAGATTATGTAGATAAGCTGTTTATAGATGGTTTTTATCATGAACTAACGATATCAACTAGACAGTTATTGAAAATAAGAGGTTACTGGACAAGTATTTCTTTGTAGTTTTGAGTAATTTTTACCACCGAGTACTCATGAATTCAATTGAATAAAATCAAGACTAAACCATTCAGGTTTTTATTGAAGATCATGATACTTTGAGACGAAACCATAACTGTCTATTTTTTTTTCACAGTTTAGTCAATTTAATATAAAGAACAATCTTCGACAATCGCATATGTGAGCGATTGTCTCACTTAGTTGACTGCAATCGTGAATTCTTCCCATCAGAACCTTAGAAAAATCATTGATCACTAATGTCCTTCTTATCACTATTGTAATTATCTGAGAAGTGATTTTCAAAGTTTAAAAACGACTTTCACCACTAACTGATATCAATACTAGAGATCCATTGACAGTTTTACAAATGTCTAGAGGGATAAATTCACTGGACAAATAGATATTTTATCAGTATAGGGTCGTGAGGTTTTTTAAGTTTAGATTAATATCATGAATTGAACAATGTTAGACCGCTACTGAAGACCTGGAAGCACTAATACGGGACTCCTTAGCAGTGTCCATCCACAATCCCTCACGTGGAATTCGAAATAATTGTAAAGGCAAAATGAATATGCATAAATAAACTGAAATTTAATGTATCAGGTACTTGAACGTTTGATTTAGACTTTTAACCACTTCCCACTCCCCCAAGAAACCTCCTAAACTTAAATCCCTAAAAGAAGAAAAGACAATGATTGAAAGTTTAGGAAGTTTATTAACAACGGGATAATTTAAATCCCTAGTAATAACGATATCAATATCATACCTGTTATGCAATTTAGTGACTATCTGGATTCAGTAGTTTACTGAATATTGCATTGAAAGTTCAAAGCAAAATCTACTGGCTTCAAGTCCCGATGTGAGAATAAATACTGAGATTCAGGTATATCTACCTGATGAGTCCTGGATTTCACTACTAACCACAAATCTATTCATTTTATTTATTATTACAAATTTATTCATATGATTAAATGGTTTAAATGGTGTTTACACTAGTGTTTCATTGAATCACATGTTCTTGAACAACTTAACTCCATTTAGATTCGAAAGTAAAAGAGAGAGAGAGTTTGGTTACTAGTTCGAATGTAATTTGAAATTGTATTTTAATGACTTGGTAACATATGGAATATTTAACTCTATTCAACTAATCAACTAAATAAAGATACTTTTAACTTGTTATTACTAAATATTATTATCTTAAATTAGTTTCTATGTGGGTATCACTCATGATTTGAATGAATCTAATATTTTTATTGGTTGTTCATATTTTTGTTTGTTTATTTGATAAATAAAACTGAATTTTGTTATATCTTACTTTCAAATTATAAGTAGAATATGTTAAGTTGTTATTTTGTGCTTATGAACTATTTAATGATTGAAGAAGCATTTTAAAGAAGAAATACAATTTATTTATTAATTTTCTTATTTTTCAACAATAATATTATCCATTCATATAAGTACTTATATGAAAATTGTTCTAGAAATCAAGATGATATAGAAGAGGTTCTCATCTTTATTATGACATCAAGTTTCCATGAATTTGATATTCATAAAAATACATTTCCAAACCACAACTAACCTCGAGTAGTGATACTTGCAAGCGTAGGAGTAGACCTAAGAAAGCCAGATACGACCAAATTAAAGTATGTCATCAATATTTGAAGTCGCTGACTGTTGAACTAAAACATATTAGTAGATGCTGCCCACTTGGTCTGTATCCGAATGATTTTTGTAACCAATAGTTGGAGACGTTATGTCAGTTGTATTCGTTCTTTGTAGCCCCTTAAACCTTGAGTTGGAAAGTTATATTGCAGCATTTGTTTCTCAAATTTAGTCTGACTTCTCGAATTATATATTTTATATCTAATCTTTTCTACTATCATTAATATTGTGACGACTTATAATAATCTGGCGAATTGTCTTGGAAATTTTCATAACTTTTTGCTAATATTGTGTGGCAACTTGAATTGATGCACATATACGTCATATTCTACGTTGCTTATGACTAATTGACTGATAATTATGGTAATATTTACTCTGTTGACTTATGAACTTGGTTTATCATTATTAGGAACCAGGTTTAGATTACAGACCTAATTATATCAAGTTCAATGTTTTATTGAAAATCGACTTAAATCTCTAGTGAGGACAAGATTAATATTATTGGTTTATGGTTTTTGACATAAATTGAGCCGCTTCAAAACTTAAATTAAAATTTCACAAATGAAGTTATAAATAGTGAACTTCTGTTATGCTTGAAGTGAAGCGGGTAACCACAAATGTGACTGGCAAAATGTTAAGCGTTATCATCAATCAACCATCGTTGAAAATTTATATCACTCAATTTTAATGCATTATCGTAAGGATAAATTGTTCCAGATTTAACGATGCAGTCTTCTAGTATTCTTTGTTCTTTACTGGTTCCTCCAGTTAATATTAGTTTCCGATATAAACAATCTATCATTAAATATGTCTCCGTGGTTACAGCGTTCAACTTTCAGTCACAAAGAGGTAGGATAAAAGCTTTTCCATCTATTTTGGTTTAGCCAAACATAGAATCACTATCCTTAACATTTAACCAAATACATAAATCAATTCTATACCCAGGTAAATGAATCATTAAAAAATTCACCTATGACTGTATAAGCTCGATAGATGTATCGATTAATTTAGACTGAATTCGCACAACTATTTTTGCAAAATAATAAACATTTCTTGTTTCCCAGTATTAAATATAGACAGTACACGGAATACAGTGTAGAAACTGGATTTATTTTTTTTCAAAATAACTACGTCATGAATAAACATTACTGAAATCTCTATACCATATATCTTCATACATATTCGGTGTAACTATGTATAGTGTGTGCTTAATTTCTTTTAATACGTCAATAGTTGAATGTGTGTGGTATCTCAGAATAAGAAATATTAAACCGAAGAAAATCGTACGGTAATATACATTAAGGTTTTTACTACATATCTGAATTCTTCTACTACTGAAATCGATTCAAAGTTTTCAGTAATAAGAATCGGGCAGGTCGCTTGAGCTATATTAATCCTTGTGATAAGTTTTTCCATGATGATTCATCTTTTTCTTAAAAGCGTTCACTTATAAGGCTGGTATAAATTGTTACAGTAGAATGCTTTCAATATTGATCACTAAGTACTCAATGAGGTCATGAAAATCCTAATCTGAGCTTCTTTGGTTCAAACATTTGAATCATTTTCCATATGAGAGATTGTAAAGACCAGTAACTAATTCAATTCCCACAGAGTAAACACGCTCAAGTATGTTCGCACCCTTTACAATGGATCATATGTTAAACTTTTCATTTTGTTACTGGTCAGAACTTAATAGTCAGTGTCATATTCAAATACACTGAAAATTTATAAATGTTTAGCTATTAACTAAAATTTATTCATATTTGACAAAATCACATATTGGAAGATAAAATTGAATTCCTATATGACCAGCAGTGAAATGTAAACTTCG